GATTCATTCGCACTTTTCATGTGAACATGCCTTTGCATTCGAACGATACCCTATATGTGTGTGTATATATATATTCCCTCCGTCCCCCTAAGTTTGTCCCGTTTTACCTTTTTCGTCCGTCCCACTAAGTTTGTCCCATACCATATTTGGTAATATTTAAGTGGTTAGAATTCATTCTTACTTTATTCACACTTTATCAATTCAATATCAACCACACATATCTACTTTTTCTTAAAAACCACACCACACCCCTTTGTCCCAAACTTAGGGGGACGGAGGTAGTATATATATATATACAAAAATGATCATGTCCGAACGTTCGGACAGGACCCTCCGTCCGAACATCCCTGTTTGGGGCCCATCCCGGTGGAATTTTTTGATGAAAATTTTTGAGCATGTTCCTCATCAAGTCTAGTTTGTCCATACCAAATTTCAGCTCAAAATTCGATCGGGAAGGCATTCAAATCATTTTTTGAAGTTGAATGCATTTTTATATGTATATTTTGACGCAGTCAACTTCAAAAATGATTTGAATGCCTTCCCAATCGAATTTTGAGCTGAAATTTGGTATGGACAAACTAGACTTGATGAGAAACATGCTCAAAATATTTCATCAAAAAATTCCACCGGAAAGTGGCCCAAACGTCCATGTTCGGATGATGCTCGGACGGGGAATGTTCGGACCTGAACATTCCTCTCTCTCTCTCTCTCTCTCTCTCTCTCTCTCTCTCTATATATATATATATATATATATATATATATATATGAGTAATCTTCCGGTCAGGAAATTCCTGACCGGAGCGCCGTCCGGCCTCCTCCTTTTGGGGGCCTTCCCGGTGGTATTTTTTGCTCAAATTTTTTGTGTATGTTCCTCATCAAGTCTAGTTCATCCATACCAAATTTCGGCAAAAAATTCAACCGGGAAGGTCATCAAATGATTTTTGCAAGTTAACTGGTCCGGAAAATACATATTCCGGACCAGTTAACTTGCAAAAATCATTTGACGACCTTCCTGATTGAATTTTTTGCTGAAATTTGGTATGCATGAACTAGACTTGATGAGGAACATACACAAAAAATACCACTGGGAAGGCCCCCAAATGGAGGAGACCGGAAGGGGTTCCTGTCCGGAATTTCTGGACAGGAATATTCATGTATATATATATATATATATAGAGAGAGAGAGAGGGTTGTTCCTGTACATATGGATGTACAGGAAGCTCCGTACGGACAAAGCCATCAGAGACCCTTCTCGATGGAATTTTTTGATGAAATTTTTTGAGCATGTTCTTCATCAAGTCTAGTTTATTCATACAAAATTCAGCTCAAAATTCGATTGAGAAGGCAGTCAAATAAATTCTTGAAATATACTGCACACCCTGTTCTAAAAATCGTTTAAGGCGTCCGACTAGTCCTCGCCTAGGCGCTAGGCGGTGGTCGGGCGCCCCGATTTTCGTCTAGACGCTCCGACTAATTGGTTTGCCGTCTACGTGAATTAGTCGGCCGCCTATGACGCCTAGTTGCCCGCCCAGAGCGCCTAATCGGCCGCCTAGGCCGTCTAGATTCACCGAACATTAATTACTTTACTTTTCAATTTTAATTTTCTAAGCGATATAAGTACTTTAACTTTAGCCACAAATATAAAGAAATGAAGTTGTAAATTAAGATAAAGACTATATATGCTTGTATATACCTAAATTTTATTATTATTTATATTTATAACATAATGAAACTAAGTGTTTAGTTATCATATACTATCGTACTACGTATGATTAAATGTGATAATTCTATCATTCATGTTTGTTAATGTATGTGTGTAAATGTGTTTTATTCACACAACAATACAATGTTACTTATCATATTTATGCAAAAATATAGATAAAAATGCAATTTCTATGTTCCGACTAGTCCCCGACTAGGCGCCCGCCTAGCCGCCTAGGCGTTGGGCTGGCGCCCGACTAGCGCCTAACGCCTTTTAGAACATTGACTGCACATTATATGTGCGCAGAATGCGCCATATGTTTCAAGAATTTATTTGACTGCCTTCCCAATCAAATTTTGAGCTAGAATTTAGTATGGATAAACTAGATTTAATGAAGAACATGCTCAAAAAATGTTATCAAAATATTCCACCGGGAAGGGCCTCTAATGGCTTTGTCCATACGGAGCTTCCTGTACAGGAATACTTCTCTCTCTCTCTCTCTCTCTCTCTCTCTCTCTCTCTCTCTCTCTCTCTCTCTCTCTATATATATATATATATATATATATATATATATATATATATGTATATATATATATATATATAGGAATGTTCATGTCAGGCCGTCCTGACGGGCTGCCCCGTCCGGCCGAGCCCGTTTGGGCACCTTCCCGGTGGAATTTTTTGATGAAATTTTTTTAGCATGTTCCTCATCAAGTCTAGTTTGCCCATACCAAATTTCAGCTCAAAATTCGATCGGGAAGGTCGTCAAATGATTTTTGCAAGTTAACTGGTCCGGAATATGTATTTTCCAGACCAGTTAACTTGCAAAAATCATTTGACGACCTTCCCGATTGAATTTTGAGCTGAAATTTGGTATGGACAAACTAGACTTGACGAGGAACATGCTCAAAAAATTTCATCAAAAAATTCCACCGAGAAGGTGCCCAAACAGGCTCGGCCGGACGGGGCAGCCCGTCAGGCCAGCCTGACATGAAGAGCACTCTCTCTCTCTCTATATATATATATATATAGAGAGAGAGAGAGAGAGTACTCTTCCGGTCAGGAATTCCTGACCGGAACCGCCGTCCGGACGGCGGCGTTTGGCCGCCTTCCGGGTGGAATTTTTCGATGAAATTTTTATGACATGTTCTTCATCAAGTCTAGTTTATCCACAAAAAAATTCAGCCAAAAACTCATTCGGGAAGGTCGTCAAATGATTTTTTCAAGTTAACTGGTCCGGAAAATACATATTCCGGACGAGTTAACTTGCAAAAATCATTTGACGACCTTCCCGATTGAGTTTTTGGCTGAATTTTTTTGTGGATAAACTAGACTTGATGGAGAACATTCCATAAAAATTTCATCAAAAAATATCACCGGGAAGGCGGCCAAACGCCGCCGTCCGGACGGCGGTTCCTGTCCGGAATTCCGGACATGAATAAAATTCTATATATATATATATATATATATATATATATATATTGGTTCAGGTGAGAAATGCATCTAATGTGAGAAATGAGAATGAATCTCAACCATTGAATTTACGAAGTTGCACTAAAATTGGCTTTATGTTGCAGTAATATTTAAATTTTGCACATGTTGCACTAAAACTGTTTCATGTTGCACTAATATTTGACAGCGTTGCACCGAAATAGCTTCAAGTTGCACTAGACACGTGTAATACGGATTTTTCAGAAGTATTTACAGAAATGCCACCGTGCTAGATTGTATATTTCAGTGCATCATGAAGTGTCTTTTACTGCAGCTTAGTCGAATCCAATGGCTGAGATTCATTTTCATTTCTCACTCAAAGGGTTCTTCTCACTTGAACCTTACCCTATATATATATATATATATATATATATATATATATATATATATATATATATATATATATATATATATATATATATATAGAGAAAACTTCATGTCAGGCCGGCCTGACGGGCTGCCCCGTCCGGCCGAGCCCGTTTGGGCACCTTCCCGGTGGAATTTTTTGATGAAATTCTTTGAGCATGTTCCTCGTCAAGTCTAGTTTGTCCATACCAAATTTCAGCTCAAAATTCGATCGGGAAGGTCGTCAAATGATTTTTTCAAGTTAACTGGTCCGGAATATGTATTTTCCGGACCAGTTAACTTGCAAAAATCATTTGACGACCTTCCCGATCGCATTTTGAGCTGAAATTTGGTATGGACAAACTAGACTTGACGAGGAACATGCTCAAAAAATTTCATCAAAAAATTCCACCGGGAAGGTGCCCAAACGGGCTCGGCCGGACGGGGCAGCCCGTCAGGCCGGCCTGATGAGAAGAGCACTCTATATATATATAGTGCTCTTCTCATCAGGCCGGCCTGACGGGATGCTCCGTCCGGCCGAGCCCATTTGGGCACCTTCCCGGTGGAATTTTTTGATGAAATTTTTTGAGCATGTTCCCCATCAAGTCTAGTTTGTCCATACCAAATTTCAGCTCAAAATTTGATCGGGAAGGCATTCAAATCATTTTTTGAAGTTGACCGCGTCAAAATATACATATAAAACTGCAGTCAACTTCAAAAAATGATTTGAATGCCTTCCCGGTCGAATTTTGAGCTGAAATTTGGTATGGACAAACTAGACTTGATGAGGAACATGCTCACAAAATTTCATCAAAAAATTCCACCGGGAAGGTGCCCAAACGGGCTCGGCCGGACGGAGCAGCCCGTCAGGCCGGCCTGACATGAACATTCCTCTCTCTCTCTCTCTCTCTCTCTCTCTCTATATATATATATATATATATATATATATATATATATATATATATATTTTATATATATATATATAGGGAGCGGTTCTGGTGAGAACAGATCTTAGGAGAAAAATGAGAACGAATTTGGACCGTTGGATTGTATTATGTGAAACCAAATTGTGCATTTGGTGAAACTGAAATGTGCATTAAATGATATTGAAATGTGCAAAATAAAAATTTAAACTCAAGTGTGCATTAGATGAAACTGATATATGCGAAAAAAGTACAAAAATAACATCACATCGTACTTTTTATTCTGCACATTTCAGCTTCACCTAGTGCACATTTCAATTTCACGTAATGCACAATTCAACTGCACATAATGTCACTCTATCGTACCCTTTGTGATGCACATTTCAATTTCACCTAATGCACATTACAGTTTCATCTAATGCACACTGAATTTCACTTGAAGCATATCTAACGGTCCAGATTCGTTCTCATTTCTCTCATAAGATCGTGTTCTTATTTGAACCAAAACCTATATATATATATATATATATATATATATCTTGGAAATATTTTTTAAGGGACACAATCGTTAGCTTGCACAATGTAGCCCACATCCAAATGGATCATCTTTTAGCAAAAGTAGGGTCATATTCAAATTGTACAAACATTTATAGATGGGGATTTGCTGGTGACGTGCCTAAGTTCTCATAGCCTGGGCCGATTGAGCGGTGGCAAGCATTTGAGCCATGATACAAGCATACTGTACGGCTGTGTGCTGAGAAGAGTACTGATCAGCAAGGGCAAACTCTGTGAAGTTTGGTTCAATATGCACGAAATGGCCTGGCAGTGATCTCTTTGAGAGAGCCTCCTTCCAGATATCAAAAAACTCTCCCATGATTTGATGTGATGTTTCCCATGAAGAGATAGGAAGATACTCCATCTATAAAAGAAGCAAACACAGTGCTCATTAGTGATCTGCGAGCAATCTACAACACAACTATCAATCTTGCTATGATGATGTGAATTATAGTTAATGAGACAAAGGTGTATTTGACAGCCTCACCAAGATGAACGTACTTCAAAAGGGAATAAATCAGTTAGAATTTAGAAATGTATTTTTTTCCCTGTTAAGAGAACTGGTGCCCAATTGTGCACCTTACTTATTTTGGCCATCCAACTCTCTTCGGAATTGGTTCCTCTTTACAACCAATGTAAATTTTACAAACTCTCTTCGTAATTGGTTCCTTGAATCAAGCCAGGTCATTAGTGCACACCCCATATCACCCTCCCTTAATGGGGCTTCTTATTAAAATGCTCACTAGAATAGGCTTGGATATGGAAAAATAATTTAAAACCCGACAAGATATGAGACTGATTCGTATGCCCAAAACCAGATATAATATAAATTATTAACCCCTAAATATAAATATAATAAACTAGTGAATCTAAAATAAATAGAGGAAACTAGCAAACTTTATTCAGATTTGTCTGTCAAAACTTGGGGGTTTTGTTTTTAATGAATCAATGCGTATTTTTATTATTGAAATTTCTACGTATTTGGGTGAAGAAAACGAGACAGGTTGGAAGGATATTTTGCAGATAGTGCAGGATGGGAACAATAAATAAACAGATTCTGGCCTTTGATGTAGTCAAAATGAAGCGGGATTGGGACGGGATTTTAAACAGGTTTGAATGTTTGATGCCTCTTTAACTACTACATAGCAATCTGCCATTGCACCACAATAGATCCACCCCTGTTCCACAGTAGGTGGAAGCCTTTGCAGCACTGGGGTAATGAAGATGATGGGGGGCCATACTTGGACTTCTAAAATTTTCTAATACATTACATAGATTAGTGTGGTTTTATTGGGGCAACTGCCCCCTCCTTCCTCAATAGATCGCCCCTGTTCCTCAAACAACAAAATGTCACATGCTGCTCATCGCCCCAATCAGGATTCAGGACCTAGTGTGCTTGATTCAGGTTGACTAGAACCTAACTGGTAATTCCCCTCTATAAGATCAACTCACACCATCCAATGTTCTTCCTTCCATCATTTATGTTGATGGATATAAATGTACATCTTTTGGATTTGGTAAAGAACCGCCTCTTCCAACTCGACATCTGTCAGTTATCCTTTGTGTAGTCAAATGTCCCTTCAAATAACCCTTCCCCCTGATCTCTGGATTGCTCAATTACTTTCCTTTTATTCTGTTATTGTGCAGGACCATTGTTCAGGGAAAAGATTACTTTGGCTGAATGTTATCAACATCACAGTATTGTATTTTCTTTTTCTGTAACTTGATTGCAAGGGAAAGAGACAACATGTTGTTTCAAAATCAAGTGGAGAATAAGTATCAATCAATGGCACTAAAGCATGCAAATGTATTAAATCTTGTAACAACATTTTTTTAAATGAGTTAAGGTTACATGAATTGGAGCCTACGCTGCTCATTTATGAAAACTAAGCAGCATTACATACTACATCCAATTCGGCATTTCATGGGAGAACGAAATACATTGAGGTAGTTTGTCATTTTGTTTGAGAGAATTTATTATTTCAAGAAATTGAAACCATGTTTGTGGACTCAAATGGTCAGCTAGTGGATGTCTTTGCCAATTTTTTTGGAGAAACATGGATCAAATATATCTGAAACCAGCCAGTATGCATATGATATTCACCCTCCCAGTTGATGGGAAGTGTTAAGAGATGAAAATGGTTGATTATTTTGGCTGGATGTTATCAACACCACAATATTGTATATTCTTTTTCTGTAACTTCATTGCAAGGGAAGGAGACAACATGTTGTTTCAAAATCAAGTGGAGAATCAGTACCAATCAATGGCACTAAAGCATGCAAACGAATTAAACTTGTTAAAACATTTTCTTAAATGAGTTAAGATTATGTGAGTTGGGTACCATAAAAAAAGATTATGTGAGTTGGGGCCTAAGCCGCTCATTTGTGAAAAGTGAAAAATAAGCAGGATCACACAATTACATCCAATTAGGCATTTCATGGGAGAACGAAAGAGTGAAAGACAATGAAGTAGTTTATCATTTAACTCATTTTGTTTGAGAGAAAATAGTATTTCAAGAAATCGAAACCATGTTTGTGGACTCAAATGATCAGCTAGTGGATATCTTAACAATTTTTTTAGCGAACCATGATCAAATACATTTGCAACAAGCCAGAGCATATGATATTCACCCTCTGGTTGATGGGAAGTGTTAAAAGATGAAAATGGTTGATTGGGCTTACTTGGGGTACAATGTATGTCAATGCTAAAAGAAAAGTTGGTTGACATTGAAAGTGAAAGTATGATAGAAAATTTTTCTTCTCTTTTCGACAAGCCCTAATCTTCTCATTCCTTCATTTAAAGGCAGTATAGTTTACAACTACCCAAACTCCCAACAGCGTGCTTCAATCAAGCAGGGGAAGAGGTTAATAAAGAAGATAAAAGGAAGGGATTATAGAGAAGACAGGAGGAGATCAAATGCTTAATGGAACTTTTAAAGCCTTGAGACAAAACTCACAAGCGCTTGAAGATCTCAAGCTAGCATTTACTGACTAGTGTCTGTTACCCAGTTCAGTTACGTTTACTCTGTTTCAGTTATCTCAACAATGGTCAAAACATGTAGCTAAAATTTTGTCACATATTGGTCTTTGAGAAAATATGGTCAGAACTCAGAAGCACAAGACAACACGCATAATGGCAAAAGAGTACTTTTTTTATTTTTCTCGAAAGAAAACGATACAGAAAAGATCAAATAGTTCCGTACATGTCTCATTGATCTACCTAGAATGCAAAAAAGCGTTGAAAGGCAACCTTGATTATGAACAAGGGAAGAAAAGAATAATAAGTACCTCCATTACTATTCCCCTCAAAGCCTCAGTGTGAATTGGGACAACTTTTCCCACTCGCAGCCGAAAGTCACCAAGTTGGTATTGAAGCCCCTGGATAAGTAAGATACCTTAGTGCAAACTGTATGATATAAGAACACAGCATATGATAATAAAAAACTATGCAATGAGACTACGGTGCCACAGGACACAGCATATGATAATAAAAAACTATGCAATGAGACCAGGGTGCCACAAGGTCTTATGTATCAGTGTATGTGATACAACACATTGCTTGTGCATTTCCTTTGCCCTAGTTTAGGTTTGTATGTTCACTATGTTCATTAATTCACTACAATAACAACAACACCCAAGCCTTAGTCCCAAAAGATTTTGGGGTCTGCTAACATGAACCGATACATGATATCGTAGCCAAAAGGAATAGAAAGATAAGAAATTAAAGATAAGAAAAATAAAAGGATAAAACAGATAAAAATATAAGATAAAATAAAGATAAGATATACACAAAAATGCTAAGATAAAAAAGATATAAAGAATACATATATTAATTTATATATATAATAAAAAAAGATTAAAGGATTAAAAACCCATAGACAAGATAGAGAAGATAAAGGGAAAAAAGATGGTAAGAGATCAATCCACCACACGAATACACGCCCTCCACTTTCTCTCTCTCCAAAGTCATACGTTTATCCAATCAAACTGGGAAGAATTTTGCGGGACGGAGGGAGTATATAAGAAGCAAAGAGAACTGTAAAGTATGCATAGTCAGGTAAATGTAATATTATATAAGAAGAAAAAAGAACTATAAAGGTAAAGGAAGAAGATATACTGAAAGAATAAAAAAGAAAGGATCAACAAGAAGATGACAAAATAAATGAAAACTACAATCTGAAAAAGAAAGATGAAACAACATGAGAAGATGAAGAAGAAGACACCTTATGGATTTCTAACTTCTATGGGTTGATCATTGAATGTTGTTTCAACGCTGAACTATGAAGTCATAGGAGAGTAACGATGAATGTTGTTAGGAGAATTTAACATGGGTTTAAGTTATTTTGAATGTATGATCATTGAATGTATGATCATTGAATGTTGTTTCTGAACGCTGAACTAGTTGCGCGAGTAGAGCATACGAGAGTAACGATGAAGTCACACTATAGAAGGCTTTTACCGTGACTTAGAAGTTAGGAGAATTTAACATGGGTTTAAGTTATTTTGACGTGTTATTTGTATGGGTTAAATCTTATTATAATTTATAAGTATGGGCTTATTATTTAAAAGTAGGACCAAACAAATAAATAGGCTGATACGCCTTTCCCAGGCCACGCGACTTAAGCATGCGCTTTTCAACGCTTCAAGCCTTCACCGCTTCTGCGCATATTGCGCCTCACTTGCGCTCCACTCAAATGGCTGCGCCAAAAACTCTAACAGGCGCTGACCCTCATATGTGCCTCGCCTGGTGTGCTTAAGCGCTCAGGCGCGCGCTTTTGACTGCAAGTGTTGAGCAAACCGGCATAAAACCGAAATAATTATTCAAAATCTTCACACTTCTTTGGAACCTTTGCTTAATCACCCGCTCCCAAAGCTTCATGGTGTGACTCATAAGCTTAATCTCTCGATAGTTGGCACATTCTTGTACATCAATGTTATTCTTAAATAGGGGAGTACTCTGCCGCCAACTCGCTAGCATTTTATTGTTTCTCCAAATCTTGTTCAAGAAACATGTTAACCACTTAATGCCTCTCTCTCTCGATCGGTATGCAATCTGGACCCACTGCTTTCTTCTGTCACATCTTTTGCATCTTTCTCAGTCTCTTTAGCTTCTGACATTTGGATCCTTCTCACAAAATCCCAATTTACCATGCAATATAGTATAGTCATATCACAAATATCTTACGCTTTACTTCCGTTGAACAAGGTATCAAAGTACAATCTCCACCTCTCTTTTATTTCCTCGTCCTCCATTAGTAACCTTTGGAGGATAATTAATCCCATGCCTCACAAATCAATGATAAAAGCAATTGGGCATACATATACACATTAAATTCAGGCAAGTGCACCATTGTGAAGTACCTGGTACGAAGAGTTGAGTCTTGGAGAGTGGAGACATAAAGAGAAGTCTGGGTTGACAACAAAACCACTTGGGTTGAAGGTATAAAGAGGCATTTTGATTGGAAGATTATAATAAATACATTCATTTTTTCCTATTTCAGATTTCTTTTTTATTATTCAGACCATTGGGTGTTGATGAGGATGTGGTGCGTGACAGAAAGTAATAGAAAAGAAAAAGAGTTTAAGGGGATGACCTTGATGGATTTTTTTTGTTGGTTGATGTAATCGACCCCATTGAATTAGGAATAAAGCTAGGTTGTTGTTGTATCCCATTAAAACAAAACCGTTGCTTGATATGAATTCACCAATTTGCAGCACAATGTGAAGTCATAAGTTGTAAATCCCAATTTACCTCAAAATTAAGTGCAACTCTAGTTTTATATGACTGGAGCTTCTCCATTATAGTCTGGATTGATGATTCTGCTTCCATAACTAGGCATTGCCCTCTAAGCACAAAGTAATACTTGCCAGGCTGCTCTTGAAGTGAAATCCCCAAAAAATCACGCGGAAATTCATTGGCATTAGCTTGGTCTGGTATAAAGAACAAGCAGAAAAACAACTACAGCATGGGAAAAAATAGCCTCATAATGTAAATGCAGATGTATATGATAGAAAATGAAACATTCAAATAAGTATGCATGAAATAAAGCTACTACGCCAGGACTAAAGATGATTTTACTTCCAAATGTGATAGCTTTTCTTTGCAAGTTACAGTATACTTACTTTACACAGTAGACCCATATGTATCAATAAACTAATCCATAACACTTTTCAATATTCATTCAACTCTGCAGTTTTCCTTTAAAAACTTCAAAGCAAAATGCCCCTCTCACATACGCACAGATGTCTAAACCTAGCAAAAAATCTCTTTCTTTCCTTACAAGGGTTGAGATGTTGGATCAGTCAGGATTTGAATCATATTTGATCAAATACCGGTTTCCCAAAATGCACAATCACCACATTCTGTACGACTAATATACACAGAACAATACAAAGAAGGGTTATTCTATGATCAAAGGGTGCAACAATGAGAAAACATGTGGACCTCTGAGTATGGGCTTGTAGAAGCTGAGAGTAGTTTTCCACCTTCCTTCTTTGGCTCCATTGATGCTCTCGACACATTGAGAAACCTCTGAAAGGATTTGGGTGTTGACTGTTGTACCAGCATTTGGCTGCCAGTGCAAAACCCTAACATGAAACCCATAAATATACTTTACCTACCTACGGATATGCAAGCACATAGAGTCGTGTTTTTCAACATGACCCATGAAGTAACAGATATTGAGCTATTGAAGCCGACCAAGATCACATAAGATATTCACTTCATCTCAGGACAAAGTAAATGATTGAAACAGAAAGCAATACCATTTGATTGGCATAGCTGGTTCCAAAAAGCTTGGCTTTGCTCAGCGAATTTCACTAATCTTTTACTTTAGGAAGCCTCAGCGAACATGCGGAGCTCCTCAGGGCACCCCTTTTTCTCCATGTTTGGACAGATTTGTCCTACTTCATAACTGACCTCACTCCCCAGTAGGAGGAGTTTTTATCGAAAAGGGCCGAAAAAAGGTTGGTATTTTGAATCTCCTAGGTCTTCTATTACTCCATACATTATTACGAAAGAGTGTAATTACATAATGACCCTTAATAAAATGACATCATGAACTTTAAAATGACTGTCTATTGCGATTTTGAAAAACGGGAAATGACTTCTTGGTTCCACACTTCCACACCTTCCACGATTCAACTTCCGGAACCCCAACTTCCTACACTTCATCATCCACTACCAGTAGAAATCGATTTCAGTCGAGCTCCGGGTTAGGGCACAAGTATTCTTCGATTCCGAGCACAAGCATTCTTCGATTTCTACTGCGACTTCGACCAAAAGCATTCTTACATCTCCTTCAATCACCATGAAGTGCAAAACTCCTACGATTCCTCTAGTAAAAACCCAAGCAAAACGGGAGACTTGTGATAGCATCTGAAGTGATGGAAGCCGAAGATGAACTCGATATTCAGGTAAATGTTAGATTATTTATGCTTCAGAGCGATACTTGGTTCTTTAGAAAGCTAAACGTGGTAAGTTCTCAAACGAAAGCTATAGATGTTCATTCGAATCCGAACTCAACTCAGTCGACCCAAATCATGTTTGATTATTTTGAAAACGCATGACATGTTTCTCATTATTTTTTCTAAGTAAACATACTTACCAATTATACAAGTATCATTGGTGGTTAATCCGGAGTGAATTTTTGTAAAATCATTTGGTCGAACTAAACATACATTTTTTACCAATCTTAGTCGAAACGAAGTTGTAAACCATTGGTTCGACCGTATTTTTGTCGAACAGTTGTAATTTTTTTTTATATGCAGGTTCCTTCCTTGCCTCCTGTGGTGGACTACTCGTCGTTCCCGAGTATGAAGCTCATCGTAAGGCAAAAATTGGATGAATTTATAGAATTAATGTTGGACAATCTTGGTGATTTTCCCAATCTCATGGGTGCATTTAGGTCAAGTGTATTTGGAAAATACATTGATGTTGAGTTCGTCCTTGTTCCATTACTTTTGTGGCCACTCGTGTGTAGATTAGCCAAAATTGATATTGACTTGGAGGCGTGGTTTGTCGTGAAGGGAATTCCAGTACGCTACTCTCTCACAGAATTTGCTCTAGTCAGCGGGCTTACCTACAGCGCCCTTGCTGTAAATTATGAAGATGATTTTAATAATGATTCAAAGGCCACATTCATTGAGAAGCATTTTTGTCACGCCCCAGACCGCATCCGAGCGCGTGTACAACCGCCGTATGACTAAATGACGTCACTCGCAAGTCAACATGACTTAATCATACAAGGCGTCCATGAACATTGTTCATACCATACTCAGTAAGTAAACATACATAACAACATCACATATTTGGATTGAACGATTCGCGGAAATATTCAATGTTCAACCATGGGCCACATACGGGCAAAACGTGGGCTCGCAGGCCCAAAACAATTGTACTTATTACAAAATATCCATGAGCATAGTTTATAGTTTAAAAACGGTAAAGGAAGCACGAACCACGTCTCCCTTTAGATCACTTCACCGAGCAAGGTGAGAAGAGCAAGCTTGAGCTTCAACCTGGAATGGTGGGCCCCCCCGAAGGGGTCAGTACAAGTACCGAGCGAGTAGCAGGCTAAATGTAGAATAACTAACGTTTCAAGTATAAGACCCAAACATAGGGTGATACATACACATATAGTTCTTTCCCCAAGTTACAAAATACATATCAATATATATACACTTGGAAATACCCGACCCGTAGGTCATTGTTTATTTGGGAAATAGTATAGTCGATATCCTTGACTTAAACCCAAACCAACCCATATACCTATGGGTGTATAGAACTCCTCCTGGTTCAAATCATCTTAACTTGAGGACCCCGCCCGGTCCTAAATTACAAATAGTAATCTATGAGTTTTGAGGATACACGCCCGATCCTTGGGTACTCCACCCTATATAACCGAGTTTTGAGGATAACCGCCCGATCCTTGGGTACTCCACCCTATAACCGAGTTTTGAGGATACACGCCCGATCCTTGGTTACTCCACCCTATAACCGAGTTTTGAGGATACCGCCCGATCCTTGGGTACTCCACCCGACTTATGATCTACCACATATCATCCTAGATAAGGTCTATATCATAATCAATAATCGAGACTAAACCAAGTCTTAAGGCCTAAGCATAATCATCCATGCAATTCATGCATTCAAAATCAACATATAGGCAAAACAGTGCCAAACCGGCGCCGGTTTTGACATAACCGGCGCCGGTTATTAATTAAATTAATTAAACCGGCCATGCCGATCCATAACCGGCGCCGGTTTTGCCTATAACCGGCGCCGGTTACCCCCTGGGCAACCAAGTCAACATTTTCATTGACTCGCCATTTCAAACCCGATTTGTGTCAAACTTAATCCCAACGTGTATTAAGTTATAACCAAGCATTTTATGCCCCTTTTATCCCTTAAAACATCATATATGTTTTTATAAACATTTTCATATCATACTTCATTCATGATATCAATGGGTCATACATATAAGTCCAATCACTTTGGATAATCACATGTTTAAGCATCTTTTAAACATCATTATGAACACAAATAACATTTACTTAGGTAATCTCATAATGAACCCAAGAGTTATAAGACATTAAGCCGTCCACTCACCTCAAATGAGCGTGATGAAGTTCTACCCTTCTCGGTTGAACTCCGGCCAAACTCCGGTGAACTTTGACGAACTCCGGCGATAACTCCGGCGACCCTTTAAACTTCGTGAAAGCTTTTAAATCACCTTTGACAAGTTCCTAACAAGGTTTTATCATCACAAACCCATATTAATACAAATAACCTCTAAAAGGTTATTTTCCGGCTAACCGGTCGTTTTGGCTCCTAAGTCCGTTTTTGGACTTAGAACTAGTTTCAACCCCTTGTTCCACACTTATACACATGTGGAACATCCTTAAGGCTATTTCATATGATATATAAGTCATATGAAATCAAAGGATGGAAGAAAAGTTGTTAAAGAGCTACTCACCTTTATTCTCAAGGTTTTTCTCTACTTTTGCAACCTTTTCCTTCTTCCTTGAGCTCCTTGCTCTCTTGAGCTTCCTTGGCTATGGAGGATGATGGATGTAGAGTTCTTTGCTCTTGATTGGGGGAGGGCTGGCCGAAATGATCAAAGGAAAGAGGGTGGGGGTTGCATTTTTGTCTCAATAACAAGGATGGTGTGGGAGGGTCCCTTTGGTTGTCAACCATGTCTCACCCATCTATTCCCACATTCATCCCATGCTACACAGACCCCAAGTCAAGTTCCCAGCACAAAAAAAACGTGGGGTGGCCCCCACTCATGTGGGAAGTCACCCCAATGTGTCCCGAATTGTACATTCGGCCCCGAAAGTTGTATTCCCCGGACTGTTTTAATTATATTTTATTTTATTGGGTCAAATAAAATATAACACTTACTTCCCATCATAATGGGCCCTTGAGATGATTATACATTCCCCAACTTTAATTTGGATGTCCCCGAAATTCATTTCCGACTATTATCCGATAAATTATCCAAAACCGGTAATTGGGCCTCGTTTGACCAATCGGTCAACCCAATGCCTTTCTTATGGCCCAAAGTGACTGTCCATCACCATATAACTATCATCTATACCAAGATGGATAAAATATGCGGTCTCGGGAATATCGGGTGGTCCCCGCTCCCGTGTGGGCCCCACGTGCAATTTACTATTCAAGCAAAAGAATTAACAAAAATTTACAACCTCGTAATTTCATTAACCGTTTCATAAGGTTCAATACATAATTTACACAAAAGTAAATATACTTGGGGACGGTGTTACAATTTTGATCAAGATTTTGAAGGAATTGTTAGCTATGAAACAGTTGTAGATAGATTTGTACAATTATGCACAACTTTTGAAGGACCCTGAAGCTGATGAAGAACTGAAAAAGGATGCTGAAGTAGAAGTGATTAGAGTAGCAATACTCATGTTTGTAGTGATGGTCCTTGAGTCCTTCTAGCTCCTTCTAAGAGAAAAGCTCCCATTCCTGATTGGATAATTGGGAAAATCTCTCTATATACAAAAGAGAGTGGAAAAGCAAGCAATTTTCCCGCCCAAAGTTAGGGTCCAAAACGGGTCAGTCGGGTCACAACCAAATTTTAGAAGTTGAGAGCAAAGTTGGTCCTAGCGATTTTAATGCTCATTAAATGCTCCGTACAAAAGCGTGCGAACTATTGCAGACTTCTTGTTTTGGATTTTAGGGGACTGATGAGTGGCATCAGCTACCCGCCTTTTTTAATTGGTTTACAAGTAAAGTGATCTTGGATGCACAGCACCAAAGATATTACAGAATTGTCCCATCAGTCATTCATATCGCATAATATTATCCGTTGGATACATGAGTCAAGCCATAAAGGATACACAGGCTATATTCACTATAAATAAAGGGCATTTTTCGTATATGATTTTACCCGTGGGCGCAGCTCAACTGGTAGCGAGGGAGTGCCACAAGGGTTAGGTCGCGGGTTCGAATCCCGACAACTGCGATGAGAAGTTACTATGTTAAAAAATGCATAGAACTTCTGCAAGTACCGGGGACTGAGCCTCACTCTCTATCTGTCAGATTGTGATTATATTCCAATTTACATCCTCCCATCGTGCTGTCCGGTCGGTGTTGGGGGACCCTCAGGGATGAGGTGTCATCCTTTTTTTACTATAAATAAAGGGCATTTAGAATAGCTAAGCACATCTCAATTTAACACATTTTGAAGGTAAGGGTTATGAGAGCAATTGAGGTGTCAGTCCTTTCAGAGGGAACACTATAGAAACTGGAATCGCTCTTGAAAGAAAAGGTATGAAATATGGATGTAAGCACATGTTTTGAGTTTTAAAAAAAAAGTTTTTTATTTACGTACAAAAATAATTTTCATCAGTTGATGTTCTAAAGTAGAGGTAATTTTATAAAAGATGCAGCCTTGCTATTAATTAAAGATGTGTTCCAAAAGCCATTTTTATTC